TTTAATCCCAGCACTCGGGAGGCAGAGCCAGGCGGATCTCTGTGAGTTCGAGGCCAGCCTGGGCTACCAAGTGAGTTCCAGGAAAGGCGCAAAGCTACACAGAGAAACCCTGTCTCGAAAAACAAAAAACAAAAAACAAAAAACAAAAAAAAAAAAAAAAAAAAGATCCAAAGCCAATATATTAATTATATCCAATCACTTAAGCAGCAAAAACCCAAACATGAGGACAGCAACAACTGGAAAACACAGATGTGCCAGGAAATGGGATGAGGCAAGCCTCTAAGATCAAGAAGAGAAAACTAAAACTGTCTCTCCACAGAAACTTCCCAAACCAACAAAAACTCAAGGAAATCATAACAAGAAATTACTTGAATACAAAATTAGCGAAGGCCAATCATTTTCCGGAGAAACAACAGTATAAATAGATGACAATAAAACTAACAACACAGATGGCACCACTGAAAAAAAAGAGACATAAAGACATACCTACAAATATATATCATGGAACCTTAAACAAGAACGACAAGGTTCTAATCAAAATCAAACTACAAGAAATAACTGGCCATCATTCATCCTGTCCACACTGTTCTCTCCTTTACCAATAATTGAAAATGGGTTGTGTGAGGAGCGTGTTCCACCAAAATTGGAGAGATTCACTTGAAGCCTTCTGAGGTTTTAACATTGTAGAAAATAATTTTGACTACTAAAAGTATCTTATTCTCTTATGATAAAGAAAAGGATGTCTGTTAGGATCACTTAGATAACATTTTTGTTTCCTATGATTGGTGATTGACTAAGTCTGCATCAGAGTAAGGAAATGAAAACTTTTTTTTTTTTTTTTTTTTTTTTTTGTTTTTCGAGACAGGGTTTCTCTGTGTAGCTTTGCGCCCCTGGAACTCGCTTTGGAGACCAGGCTGGCCTCGAACTCACAGAGATCCGCCTGGCTCTGCCTCCCGAGTGCTGGGATTAAAGGCGTGCGCCACCACCGCCCGGCTTAGGAAATGAAAACTTTTTAAAACAAAATGAAAGGTAACAGATTTTTAAAAAAATCAGTATACACCTAAAGCAACTTGGTTTGCTCTAATTGTTTTATAAGTCACAAGCACTTTTGAAAACAAGTTTATTGCTATTTTTTTGCATATGTTTGTACATGAGAAAGAATGCTTTTTATATGTATACAGAATCTGTAATAGCAGATAGTTATGAGCATCTCAACTTGAGTGTTGGTATCTGAACTTAGGTCATCCCCAAAATGAATATGTGCCGAGCAAACTACCAAGATGTTTTATCCAACAAACCAAAAGTCTTTCAGATTAACAACAACAAGAACAATACAACCTAAACAAATAAAGAAGCAAATAAATAATCCTTGGAAACATGCTGCATCAAAATTAAACTGTTGTGTATGGTAAACTTGCAACATAAAGTGAATATAATCTAACAACAATGCCCAACAATTTATAAAAGGAAAGCTTATTACAAAGCTACATTAACAGTGGAAACATTCAGAATGATCAATGGGATTATGAAAAATAGTATGCAGATTGATATAATATGACTTCTATACTTACTACAAAGCTACAACAATCAAGAATGTGAACAATATTTGTGATAGAATAATGGGGATAGAGAGAAAAAGCCAAGAACAAGGAAAGAAAATAGAGTCAACTATTAATCAAAAGACCTAAGAAAACTTAACCAGGAAAAGTGTGTTCTTGACCAATGTTACCCAGCTACCTACATTCTACGTGTATAGAAATTAAATAAACACAATCTTGACAGCTTTCACAAAATGAACTCACAAAGTGACTTTTAAACTGTTGTTTCTGATGCTCCAGCTACTGATATTTCTTTCAAAGACAGAAGCCCCATGCTCTAGAGTTCTCTCTGCAAAATGAGGTGATCTCTTGCTATGGCTCTGCAGCCCCTTGTGCCTCCTTGTGTTTTCAGGTAAACCAAGTCCCGCTGATGTCCAATCCCAAAGCAACAGAGAAGAAAAATTTTAAATATGCTTCCTGTCACATGGATTATGGCACAAGATGTGGATTCTGCCCTTTCTACCTGCCCAACACTATGCACACCTGAGAAACCTCTGCAGCTCAGAAACACTTTTTGTCCTCTAGAACTAAACTTCACCGAATCACACCACTGTGGCTGGTGGCAGCAGAAATTTAAAAGCATTCTAATCATGTATTGCTGAAAGACAATCCACATCACCACCTTTCTACCAGTTTCTAAACTAATTGTAACAAGATAAACCTGAAAGTGGAGTTCAATGTTCAGACCTTCTGGAAACCAGATGTTCAGTTTTCCCATCTGTCTTCCCACTGCACACTAAAAGCATGCCTATGTGTACACACTGGACAGTGATACTACAAGCATCATATCATACCATGCTTGGAATGCAGAGTCTCCCCCTACCCAGGAAATCTGTACACAGGGAGGCTCAGAGAACCAGGGCCACTGCCCAGGTCACCACATGGACCAATAGAACCTCAGTATAGCTCGTGATCAATCCCAGTCCAAGCAGCTCTGACAGCTCAGCCAGGTCTGGGGACAGTGACTCCCACACTCATCATGGCATGGCTTGTGGTCTTCCTCACAGCTCCCTACAGCAGAACAAGAGGAGAATCCTGGAAAGAACCTGTAAGCTACTTCCTACTGGGGCTCCTGATTGCTAAGCCTTCCCAGAGTCCTTCATTAGCTAGGGCCACCCAGCTGGGCTTCAGGACATTAGCATTTACCCTACTGGGTGAGCAGAGTTCAAATGACTCAGAGAGCAAAAACCCTCCCAGGTTGGTCTTTCCACACTATGGTAGAACAGGAAACTAATCTGGGGATTTGGTAGTTTAGTAAAATCTTCCAATTTCCTGGAGTACTTCCTTTTCTCTTCCAAGGCACAGGGTCCTACGTGTGCACATTCCATAATACATTTAATGTCCAATGCAGCCAACCCTTTACCTCATAGCTGGAGGTCCTGCAACCTAACACAGGTCACATTCCAACAGTAATTACTGTTAAACAAAAAGAGGCCATGGGTTAGAACACAAGGAAGGGTCTATGGGAAGGCTAGGAGACAGGAGACAGTGGAAATAATGTAATTACAATTCCAAAAACTCCTGTTAAAAAGTTGAAACAGGCTTTATGGCCATGTACTCCAGAGACTAGGGATTTGTATTAGAGCACACCAAGTACTACTCACACCATTTCTCTTAAGTACCATACCATTTTATCCAGTTCTATTTAGGTTGAACTGGTATGTAATCACAGTAATTTGGTTTCACAAAAATTCAGTTCTTTGTCCAGATTCTTGATTGGCTGGTCTGTGGACCTAAGTAATGGCCAGTCAGAACATTTATTGATCATCTAACATTGATGACCTCACTACTCATTGCTAATGCCAACTACTGTCATAGGAGGAAAGTCCACCTCAGTGAACATAGAAGACCTTGACTCAAAACTGCTTTTCCAGAAGACTACAGATGCTCCTGCTTAACGTTAATATACGTTCATGGCACACCAGGACTTAATGTTGGCTATGACAGTCACTTGAGCAGCATTGAGAGGCCAGTTTTTTAATGGAGGGAGTCAGCAAAGCCCAGCTCACTGAGCCTAGGCAGGTCCAAGCCCCTTCCCACTGCACCAAGGCTATGCAAGGTGTCACATCACAGGCACCGGATTCCCAGAAGCCTGCCCATGCACCAGGGACAGATCACGATCCCCCTGCCTGGGTGCCCCCCAAACAGTTCGAGCCAAACAACTGTCTTCCATGTCCAGAGGGCCTAGTCCAGTCTCATGGGGGCTCCACAGCCACCAGTCCACAGGTCATGGGCTTCCACTAGTGTGGCCGGTCATCTCTGCACATCCTCCCATCATGATCTCGATGTCCCTCGACTGTAGTATCTCTCCTCTCTCTCATCGATTGGATTCCCAGAACTTAGCCTGGTGCCTGGCCGTGGATCTCTGTATCTGCCTCCATCTGTCCCTGGACAAAGGCTCTATGATGACAGCTAGGTTATTTGCTAGGCTGGTCACTAGAGTAGACCGGTCCAGGCACCCTCTGGACCACTGCCAGCACAACAAGGTGGGGTCAACCTTGTGGATTCCTGAGAGCCTTCCCAGCACCCTGCCTCTTCCTATTCCCCAGTTATACCACTCTTGGGCATATATCCAAGGAATGCTCAATCTTACCACAAGAACACATGCTCAACTATGTTCATATCAGCATTATTTGTAATAGCAAGAACCTGGAAACAACCTAGATGCCCCTCAACTGAAGAATGGATAAAGAAAATGTGGCACATATACACAATGGAGTACTACTCAGTGGTAAAAAAAAAAAAAAAAAACAATGATATCATGAAATTTGCAGGCAAATGGATGGAACTGAAAAATATCCTGAGTGAGGTAACCCAGACTCAGAAGGGCAAACACAGTATGTACTCACTCATAAGTGGACACTAAATGGGAGGGAAGGGATGGCCAGACTGCAACCCACATCTCCAGAGAGGCTAGCTAACAGGAAAAGACCCTAGGAGGGACACATGAATGACCCTGTGAAGAAGTGGATGAGATCGACATGAGTGGACTGGGTGTGTGTGAGGGGTGGCAGAGGGCGAGGAGTGGGGTTTGAGAACATAGGGAAATGGGAGGGTCAAGCTAGAACAGGGACAGAGTGGGAGGGCAGGGAGGGAGATACCATGATAGATGACAACAAGGGTATTTAAAAGCACAGTCCCGCTCCCAATGCTGCTGGTGGAGTGAAGTTATGCAGTCTGATCGCTGGCCACGGGAATTGCAAAAACCACATAGGAGCACGCAGAACCATACCGGAGCAGGCAGGACGAGCAGGACCCGGCTGAGTTATACAGAACCAGGCAAGAACATACCCAAATCTGCCACTTGCACCCACCTGCCCAGCGGAGGACGCACCACACTGGCTTCCATGACTCAACGGACAGCTCCTCCCTGTCTGGGGACGAACGGAGGCCCCTACTCACCATGTCATGGCTTTCCAGCTCATCCATGTTCCCTGCTCAGCTCCCTGCAGCATTCATAACACAGCACACAAAATCCAAGGCCCCGGCTTCTCTTCAAAGCCAAGCCCAAAGCCCGCGGCCGGAAGGACCCTGCACAACTTCTGATTGGTAGGTTCCCGGAGGGCCTGATTGGCTAGTGAGGCCTGAGTGACAAGAGCACCTCCCTTAGAGTTACACTGTGCTTAAAGATACAGCACAGTGGTTTCTGGTCAAGCCTTCCACCCCGACAAAGAGCTTTCCTAGATCAGCAGAGATCAACATTTGAATAGCGCCTGCTCCTGGCTCCAGTAGCTGACATTGCTACCTTGCTGCTCTCCATAGGCACTTCCCCTTTTTCCTCTGAGACACAATGTGGCTAGCTTGCACAGTCCACTACACTATGTGGGGTGGAGAGATTCCCTGTCACACATGTGGAAAGTTGAAAAATGAATACAACCTGCTATGTCCATTTTTATTAGTTGTTCATATACGGATAATTGTATTGAATAAACAATCAGGGAGCTCATCCCTGGCTGAGGCTTATTCTCTCAAATGGAGGAGAATTCCACGTTTTAATCAGCACCAGGTGTCTGACCCTGACTATGCTGCCTTGGACAGGAAACATAATCAAGAATAGAAAACTTAGGGTGGAAATAAACCTTAGCAGTTAAGAGCAGTGAAGAGTCTTTCAGAGCATCTAGCTTTCATTCCCCATACAGATAGAAGCCTGAAAGATACTTTTGCCCACTGTGAAAATTTCCCTTCACTCATATCTTTCAGGGTTGTCCCAGAATGGGGTTGTAATGCTGCCCCTCTCCACTTCTGGGTGGTGCCTGCATGATGTACAGAACCATCAGTAAATCAGGCCCTAGTCTTCTCTTCCTCAGTCAACCAATCATAGGGAATACTCTGTCTTGCAAACACCCAAAAACCCAATCAAGCAAAAAATAAGATCCACCTTTAATCTGGATAGCACCTTCTGTTAGCAGCCTACATATATAAAGGAAATTGAAGGAGGAAGCTCTCTCTCTTTCCCTGTTGACATAGCTCTGGTTACCAAGTTTATTCCTTTAACAGCATTAGAGCCTACTTCTTTGGAATTCTGATGTATACTGAAGACCAGCTGAGATGTCCAGCCTCATGGACTGAACAACTACTGGACTCTTCAAATTTCTGTTGGTAGGCACCCATTGTTAGACTAGCTCTACCTAAGCTTGTGAGACATTCTAATAAATCTACTTTCTACATACACGGATTCATTCTAGCAGTCCTGGTCACGTAGAAAACCTTGACTAATGCAGCTGTGTGTTTTTTTTTTCACCTGCCCACTGAGGAAGATGTGCTGACTAACAATACAGCTCATATTCTTCCTAGCTCCATTATTCTCTAGCTATTCAACTTTCTGTGAAGCCTACTCCTTTTATTAATATTCATTTGCCAGTAGTTTGCTCTGAAGTTCAGGAATAAAACTCCTAAAGCCATGGAGCCATTATCCATCCTTCTGGTGGGAAAAAGACCTATTATCTTGTTTGTGATCTGGTTCCTGCTTTTCTTTCCTGGTTATCTGAAGTTCCTGTGACAACCAGGTAAAAAGTACCTTCAGTTCACCTGACCTCAGTGTGAAGCCACAGAACACACATCTCATTTTGTGTCCTTAAATCTCTCTTTAGTTGTTAATATTCTGGGCACCCTTCCACCTGTGTGACAGGGAATCACTCCACCCTACACAGTATAGTGTGCTGTACAAGCTAGCTAGCCATATTGTTTCCAGGAGGAAGAAGGGGAAGTGCCTATGGAGAGCAGGAAGATAGCAGTCTGTTATTAGAGCCAGGGGGCAAGCGCTATTCAAATACAAATCTCCGTTGAGTCAGAAAAGGTCTTGGTCTAGGGTGGAAGGCTGACATCCCCAGATGGGAGGAGTGGTCATTTGAGTCATGGGAGCCAGTGTGGTGGATCCTCCCCTGGCTGGGTGGGAGCAAGTGGCCAGATGTAAAGTTTGGCCTGTTCCTGCTTGGTCCTACATGACCCAGCCTGGTCCTGCTCATCCTGCATGCTCCAGTGTGGTTCTGTGTGGTCCTGCGTGGTCTTTGCAGTTCTTGGGGCTGGCTGGCAGCCTCTGTGTAACTTCACTCCAGCGGCTGCATCTGTGCAGTGCATTGGGAGCGGGACTATGCTTTGAATGTCCTTGTTGTTGACGTCAATGTAAAATGCCGGCACCCTTAGTGCCTGTGTTGCTGCTGTGGAACATAGATTTGCCAAACTCAGAAGAGGCCTGGTCCCTCTAGTGTCTTCCAGAAGTACTGCACTTTGAACTTTGAACATTAAGGTTTAAGGTCCAACTGGAGTTAATTCTGTGGAGCTTGTAAACAGTATCTCCTTTGTAGAGTTGATATAGGGAGGAGAGTAGAGTAGAATTGATGGTATAAGTGCTTAGCCATTCTTAAGAGACACCAATTCACAAAAGTAAATTAAGGTAAGGGAGGGCTGCATCCCAAATATCACAAAGAGAAGTAGCATGCTAACCATGCCTGTTAGAGATTAGTATGATAAGTGTTATGCCCAGATTGGGACCCCAAAGACAAACCACCACAGACCTTAGGTTCAGAATGCAATTAGCATGGTTTATTTCTGTTTACAAGCCGCGGACAGGGAAGCTCGATCCAAAGCACTCACTCTTAGTCGTGAGGCCAGGAGGAACTTGCTTTTTCTTTGTGTGGCTGGCTTTTTAAAGGTAAAATCCACAAGCCCTTCAGGGGGTTGGGGGAGTTTTGCACGGGTGCAACTCGGATTGGTTTATCTTTATCTCTGTTCTCTTTTAATTGGGTGAGGGTATGTAACCTTTGAATTTACTGGTTGGTGGTTACAATTTATTACTTTGGGGGCAGTCCCAGGCTTTGTCCTTGAGCCACCATGGGGGCTGGCTGGTCAAGCACGTACTGCACATAACTCTAAGTTGGTGAGGGGCCCCAGAAAGTAAACATCTGGCTAAACTTTGAGCAGTCTTTTGTTCATGGCCCTCCCAGAAACTGCTTGCTCAAGTCTCAGGAAACTGAAATTGAGGCCTGATCTCTGAGAGAAGACTGAGCAGCCTGTTATGGCATCTGCTTGGTCCTTTCAATAAGATGTAAATGTTTGCTCCCCAGGATTAACCAGCTACATTCCCAAAATAGAGTAGACAACCCTGATTTATAACCAGCGGAAAGGCCCATCTCTCCATTAAAAAACTGTCCTCTAAATGCTGCTCAAGAGACCATTACAGGGTCACAACCAACATTAAGTCCTGGTGTGCCATAAAGGTATATTAATTCTGAAAGGACCGAGCAGATGCCATAACAGGCTGCTCAGTCTTCTCTCAGAGATCAGGCCTCAATCTCAGTTTGACTGAGACTTGAGCAAGCAGTTTCTGGGAGGGCCATGAACAAAAGACATAATCCTTGCAGTAGCTCCCTTTCTGCATATACTCTGACTGCTCAAGGTCCAGCCAATTGTTTACTGTCTGGGACCCCTCTGTCAAAGACAGAGCCTGGGCCACTGAGCCAGCCCCACAGCCAGCCTCCATGGCAGCTCAAGGACAAAGCCTGAGACTTCTCCAAGCCTGCCCCAAAATGGGTAACTGTAATCCCCAACTAACTCTAGCCATTTAAAAGTTACTAACATGATTGCCACTCGCATAAACCAATCCTGAGTCTGTTCCTAAGTAGTCTGTAGACCCCAAAACCCCTTGCTTTAGAAACCCTGCCCATTGCTACTCGGGGTCTCTCCTGCTCTGTTGCTGCATCAGATGGATGGAGAGACCTGAGTTAACTCGTAACAATACAAAGACTCTTTGCTTTTGCATCAGAATCGGTTTCTTGGTGGACCTTGGGGGACTCTGGGTACAACAAATTCTAGAACAGGGGTGTTTCCAGTCTTTTTGAAAAGCTGTTTTGAATCATGGTCTTCTGTGTTCATTGAGGTGGACTTGAACCCTGTCTGTAGCTCCACAGGGAATTGCCCTTATTATCCTCCTGACTAACCACCCTAAATCTTGGTTTACCCTTCTGCAGCACCACAGAGTTCTAAAATTACAAGTTTGAGTCACATAGTGGACTGTCATTGCAGAACAGGGAGAGGATTTGTGTGTGGAGCATGGCTTCTCTCTTCAGACCAGAAGAGGAGGAGCAGTGTACTGTGTACACTGCAGGGAAATCACACTAGACAATAGCTAGATCATGACTGAAGTTGAAGGCAGTGAGCTGCGGGGTCTCCATTACAAAGAAGGACTGATGGGGCAGGGTGAGTGACTTTCTCTGTAATTTTACTGTATGTATTAATTCCTTCCATGTGAAAGAAGACAGACAGAATTGGGGGCTGTACAGTTTGAGGAGGACAGCTTGAACTACTAAGTCTTCAGTTTCCAATTAGTGAACTCTCCTCTGCAGATATGTGCAATCCTGGTTGACACAGTTAAGTCAGCTGAGGAGGTCTGAGACACAGGCCACTGGCTGCAACTCCATGTGTTAGCTTACAGCACTCAGTGGCTAACACTTTACATGGGAAAAAGTTATACAGTCTCTTAATGGTATTCACTCTACCATGGAGCTGCCTATTCCCTTTCAAAGTCAGTATAGCTACATGTTCTTCCAATTATTTTTATCATTTTAAAACATCAATTATTGATATAATTTTTGAAATTCATTTCCCTTAAATGCAACATAGCTATTTTTCTCAATGTTTCTCAGTTTAAGAATTTCATTCTAAAAAAAAAAAAAAGAATTTCATTCTATTTTTTTCATAAGTGCTGTTTATTTATATATTTAATTGTATCAGTTTATAGCAGGTTCTCAACCTTGGGTGTCATGGCTCCCTTTGGGGGATCAAATGACCCTATCAAAGGACTGGCCTACGACCATCAGAAAGCACAGATATTTATATTATATTTCATAACAGTAGCAAAAATATAGTTGTAAAGTGGCAGTGAAAATAATTGTATAGTTGGGGGTCATGGGATCATGAGGAACTGTATTAAAGGGTCACAGCATTAGGAATGTTGAAAACCACTGGTTTAGATCAGTGTCTCTTGTAGCTCAGGCTTGCCTCACACTATAAAATTGAGAATTGTTTTAACCTAATTCTGCCTCT